TACAGGGTGTCATAAGTCAGTTGACATTACCATCAAATCGATTGTTGACCAATGTGCACAAGACTACATTTTGCAAATCTATACTAATGCACGTTTCGACGGCCTACGTAGGAGCTTGTGGCCTACAACCAGTACACTGGGCAAAACGGTGGCTAGTTCAGGCCGTTCCTGCGGAGACCGCTGGGGCCATTCTTTTCGGTAACATTTTTCCACGTTTCAGTGGCATCTGACATGCGCATTAAAGTTGCGGATCAGAATGGCAGAATTTGTAGGAATCTGTAGTGAGCAATTTACAGTGGGCACCTTCCACTTCATGCAGGAACGACTCATAGTATCCACCTGAATTTGGTGCTTGGTCTTGTAACACGGCTAAAGGTTTAGCTTAGTGCAATTTCCGTCTGAGGACTACAACAGCTGGCAAGTTTTACCAAATCATTAACCCTCATCTGAGTGTCTTCCAAACAATCGACACCGGAGTAAATTTTCCGCCCCTTTTCGCTGCACTGATTCGAAATTCCGGAGCTGTGGCGCTTCATTGAAAAAATACAAGTATATAAAGGCGTTGCTTAACGGTCTCATTAGCTGGCCTATGATCGTTCCGTCCGGTTAAGGAGTCGCTACGATTTTGACTCTTGGCTCTTCCTCTCTGTAAAATTCGTGTGGAATTTTCGCTGACTTGCTATGATGGATAGCAACTGCGTTGCCTACCTGCACTTTCGTCATCTTAATGTACTTCCTCTGCAGTGGTCATCGTGACAATGAGTTCAAAGCCGCCGGGGTGGCAAGGTTCTGATCGTTGATATTTTAGAGTCTGCCTGAGATTCTTTACATTTTGATCGGTCCTTCTTGACCTGGGCTGCCTCCGAGCTGGCATAGCGTTTGATTCTACCAATTCCATTAGAGGCAGAATTCCAGACTATGCGAAACTTTGCCACGGTCCCAAACCTTCTTCCCATCCTCGCCTCGGAAGGACAGCGGAGGATATGAGTTGCAGGAAGGGGAGGGAAATAAATATTTATGAATTTCAATCAACAGGATTATCAAATTTCTCTAAAAATATTAGTTAGTCTAATAATGTACGGACAATTCTTTACTGCTGTAGTTTTCAAGTGATCTGTTACATATTGCACTGTTAGTACAATCTTTCATATTTCCCGATTACACCTGGCCTATTTTCAGATTCCGTATTGTTCAGAGTCTTATGATAAAATCAGCACAATATTTTACTGTAAAATTATGATGGGAGTGGTCCCCAAAGATTGATGTAGCGTATTAGAAACGTCGGATAACTTGTATTAAACATTACTCTAATGAAAACTTTTGAGAACATCTTCTGTGGAAACCTAAGCTTGCAGATCCCTTTTATTGATACTGTAAAATGCCAAGCTGTAGTCCCCGACTTTGTTTGTGTGTTAAGCGGTGTATGGAGGTCTGCTATTGATTTGATTTCCTTGAATATGGGCGGAAATCAGAGCGTTGAGATTCCAGGAGGTGGTACTGAAGGATACCATGTTTTGCGAGTAAGCAGTTCTCTGGCATGAT